GTTGTACGATAGATAGCTCAACCCCAATATTATTAAAGCAGATTTTTAAAAAATGTTCAGAAAACTACACTCTCCTCGCAAGCAAGAGGACCCAGGTTTAATTCCTGGGCAGGGCAAAACCTAAGGCAAGGTTTCCACATGCCTCTTTTTATGTAGCAATAAGTACGAAGCCAGTTATAATAATAATAATCCTTGCATTTGATATAGCGCTTTCCATGTCAGGAGGACATCCCAAAGCGCTTCACAGAACACACTGTAAAGTGAATTGACTGTATATTTGTGGGCGAACGCGGCAGTCAATTGCACACAGCAATGTCCCACAAACAGTCGTAGATTGAAAATGACCAATTTATTATTGTTTTTGGATTATTATTAGGCTCTGTGTGGAGTAAGGAAACTTGCCCAAGGTTTTGCCCTCTGCCTGGAATTGAACTCAGGTCTCTCACTTGCAAAGCGAGTGCTCTAACCACTGAGCTACAGGACTCCTGTTAGTCGATTAGCGGATTGCTTTCCAGGAGTAGTAATCCCTTCAAAAAAACTTAATTAATAATAATTTGGTCACTTTGTTTCATCCATAAAATATACAATTAATTCACTTTGCAGTATATTCTGTGAAGTGCTTTGAGATGTCTCAAAGGTGTGATGAGGCGCTATATCAAATGCAAGGATTTTTTTTCTTGTGGGTAGATTTGCTTTCGTGTGGAAGGATACTAAAATAAAAATATGATGTTTTTACCTTAGAAACCACTAACTAAAGGCTGGCTTTTGAAACATCATGTTGTGAGCTCCACTGTTTATAGCTGGCTGATTTCAAGCACGCACACAGTCACTGGCAATATTCCCTGTCCTTAATAAACCTCAGCTATATCATCTGATGTTTGGATGATGTGACTGAAGTCTTTATCTGAAGCTTTCCTTATCTTGCTGTGCAATTACCAGATGTCCTCACATAACCTAAGCAGTACTTATCCTTGCCCGACTCCACTGGCTTCCCATCACAGAGAGGATACAGTTCAAGATCTTGGTCCTCACTTTCAAAGCCCTCCGTGGCCTTGCTCCCCCCTACCTCTGCGACCTAACCCCCTACCATTCTGCTCGCTCCCTCGCAAGTTTCCTTACTCCACACAGAGCCTAATAATAATCTCTCCAAAACCAAAAACAATAATAAATTGGTCATTTTCAATCTACGATTGCTTGTGGGACATTGCTATGCGCAATTGGCTGCCGCGTTCGCCCACAAATATACAGTCAATTCACTTTACAGTGTGTTCTGTGAAGCGCTTTGGGACGTCCTCCCGACGTGAAAAGCGCTATATCAAATGCAAGGATTATTATTATATTATTAATTAATAATTTGTTCACTCAATCCTTGTGGGACATTGCTGTGCGCAATTAGTTGCCTCGTTTCGCTCACAAATTGCCAGTAACTTTTTGTTTTCCACAGTGTGATTTTTAAGAAGTCCAAAACATTTCCAATCCCTATTATCACTTGTTTTATAACGTTTGGGGTTAAAACCTCAGTTGGTAGCAAGACTGTTAAGAATTCTGCAGCTATGAGATGCGGAAAGCTGGCCGTGAATTGGTATTAGGGAGATTAGAGAGGATACTGATGTAAATCCTGGGTACTCCAGCATGGGATCCAATTTATCGGCTGGCTCCAAGCTTCTGCTTGTCCCTCGTCTTCTCCACCACGTCGTTCCGCCTTCCTTTCAGCCACTATGCCCCAAAGCTCTCTCTCAATCCTTCCACCCTGCCTCCTCCTTCCCCTTTTTCAGATCACGCTTGAAGACCTTCCTCATTAACTGTACTCACGGTTACTTCCTCCCTACCCCTAGCTTGGCATTAGACTCTGCCAGTCTTAAGTGCTATATATATATTTTTTTGTGTCTGTATAGATATATAGATATATGTATATCGATATATGGTAATGCAATAGGTCTTGGTAACTTCTCCCAGCTTTTACCTGGCTTGCTTTCCAGATAGAATGGTTCTCGAATAGAAATTGGATAGACAAGTATGGTTTTAAATTAACTGCTATTCAAATGGAAGGGTCAAGGGATGTCATGGCGCTGGTGAACTGGCGTCATGTTTTGAAAGTTGTTTACTGAACGCAGTTGTGGCGGAAGAACTTGTAATCTAGGGCTTCGGTTGATAAACCGTTATCAAATGTTGCACTGTCTACTCAGGAAGTGGCCAATGAGCAATGTTGGCACATATTTGATCTTTTGTGATGAAATTAAAGACGGTGAGTCTTTTTTCGAAAAAGTCTATGCCCAGGGTTGCTTTTGAACCAGAACAATACTTTCAGATACACCAAGATACTAGAAAAAGAGGACAAAATCTTTAGAGTTGCCGAGGGTATTGAGGCGCACCTTTTAATGGAGGTAAGGGAGGGGGTGAGGCTCCAGGATGGAGTTCCAGTGGGTGGGGGCAAAAAGGCGGAAGGCCCAACCGCCAACGGTGAAGCAGGCAGGACGGGGAACGTGGAGCAGGCCAGTGCCTGTAGACTGGGGAAGAGCACAGATTGGTAACATTTTAGTAGGTTAGAGGTAAGGAGGAGGAAGACTGTGGACTTGAACTCGATCCTCTGAGGGAGCCATGCGAGGGTGGGGGTGATCGGCTCACGGTACTTAAATACAGGAGAGGACACGAGCTGCAGAGTTCTGGATAATCTGCTGGTACTTGTGGAAGGTACAGCTGGGGAGTTGCAACAAACAAGCATACGTGAAATCAAGCCTGTTAGGTAATTTTTGAATGAAAAGTAAATAAGGCAGTCATAACCAGACTCAAAAGCACACAAAAAATAATCAATATAAACCTTTAATTCCAAACAACTTAGAAAACTTGATGGTGAGTGAAACAATATCAGGATTGAAAGCTAAATAAAGTTGCATTCACTACATTATCTTGAACCTTTAATATGAACAGAGACAGAAATCCAATAATAATAGCACAAGGTAACAGCCGAATGCTTTAATCCGTTTAAAATTCCCCTTTTCCAGAGTGCAACCTTCTCGTGTAATCCAGAAGTGGATCCTTTTGAGAAAACAAATCGCAAAAAAAAAAAAAAAAATGGTTTCAATTGACAGGAATTTTAAGTTATTCGGAAGGGCTAGGCTTGCCGAAATTAAATTAGTTGACGAGTTGCTGAGAAAAGCAATCGCTTTCTAAAGGGTTAGATATTCTCTGAATGAGAAACGATCCAAAGTCTTCAAATTCCAAAGGGGAAGTTTAGAACATCTATTGTTAAGAACAGATGTGATTTCCCATTTCCCAGACTGGATTGCACCCTGACTTCGGGTTTCATGGTGTCTAACTGCAGAAATCATAGTTGTATTATTGCAAATAAATGCAATAAAAATTAAATTCACTTTTTTTTTCTCCCCATCCTCACAAACTGTTCTTGATAATGTTTTAAATTGCTTGATGTAAGAGACGTCTCTAATTTCATTTAGGTAAACGCGTGGCAAGATGGTCTCTGTGGAACAGAACCGCATCCAATTAAATGTCGAAAACCTCCAAAGCTCAGGTTACATGCTTTCCTCGATTTCATTTGTGTTTTTTTAGGGAGAGTAGGGAAGTTGATTTGTGGGGAGAAAATTCAAAGAGTTATAACTACCACAATCTGTATTTTTGTTGTCATCCACATATCATGGACAAGTACGATTTTAGGAGTTACCAAATAGAAGGTGAAGAGGCCAAAATGGCACAGGTAAACAATAAGTCCTTGTTGACAACACATCCAAATACAAATGGTGGGTGGTGAAGTGGATGATTAGTTAATTACTCAGTGTAGCTACTGCATGTAATTGTCCCAAAGCAACATGTTTAAGAATGAGTTCAAAGCAGTGACTACAAAGCAGAATCTTTATCTCTTGTAGGATATATGAATAAAAGGTCAAAATAGCAACTTCTGCTATTTCAAATTCAGATATCACTTTTGCTTTTGAAAACTCAAATGGGGCCAATGTTCTACTCTTATCCGTATCCTGATCAGTGGGGATGTCTGACTAATGTAGATCTGAGAGCAAAGATCTGTGTGGTCACAGCAGGACTACTGAGACTTTTCAAAGCATTAAGGGAGAATTAGAAGGAAAGGCATCAAGTCATCTGTCTTCAATGGAATAGATTCTCAAAATAAAACTCTCTGATCTTTCTGTTAAAATGTCTGTTTCTGTGACATTCCAATTATAAAGGGCTAATAGACTCATTCTTATAGCAGGCTCTTGTTCAAATCTGACATAGTTTTGCTCCCTGGTTTAACACTGATCTATAAACCAGTATTTAACGCACCAATCCACCCGATGTTCCTGTTGATGAACATCACCATTGTTGTCTGCCAGACAGAAGAGTGCTTTGACAATCTAAAGTATTAATTTCTCTTAGGTTTTCTGGAAAACCAAATGACTTGTACCCATTTTCTACACATACTCTGTGTACTATTGGGAAACAAAGTATGGTGAAGATAATCAGTTCACTGTCTCTGCAGCTCTATCACTAAAAACACATGGTGTTTCAGCTTTAATGGGAGCAATAGTGGTTGAATAATAATCTTTAGATTTGATACAGTGGCTTTGACGTCAAGAGGACTCTCAATGAGTTCGTTAGGATATACTGTGATGTGTAATGACTGTATTTTGTAGGCTGACTATTTTCAAAGAGGGCGCATCTCAACTTTTGTGAAGATTTGTGCATCTAGTTCTTTGTGTGACATTGGCAAAAATGAAGCAGGAAAAGAAAGTAAAATTTTCAGGAAAAAATATTTGAAGAATTAATAGAAAAGTTTTAATGTTGCCTCAAATGCCCCATTGTAATGTTTGTTTTGCTCATGAAAGCATAGCACGTGACCACTGTTGTCAATGTGAGAAAACTAGATCACAACGAAGAAACCTAATGTCCATTACCAGATAATTTATGGAAAATAGAATTCACTAGTGTTAATGTGGTCTTTGTGGAATAAGTACGCAAAAGGTTTTGTGAGAAGATAGGACCATTATTAATTGGAGGAAGAATATTTACATTTTAATCGGCGATTTATAAATATGCAATAATGCCATTAAACCAGGTTTTGGAGTGCTGGTAGAAACTACACATCTTGTAAACTAGAAAAGAAAATTGTGGGAATTAATTCATCTTTAACGTAAAAACACTGATCCAATAACTCGTCCCCTGTTGTTTCATTTTAGTCACTAAATCTTAAACAGACGAAGAAATTCTAAAATTAATTTCCTAACTTTCCTATTATCAGCCATCAAGTGCTTTGGAGGGATCAACATTGAATGGTCTTGTCACAAGGTGCTAAAGTCGAGGCTGCTATTTCTTTTTAATTTCAATTCAAAGCTTGTGACTGGTGTCTGGTGACTGACTACCTCAGTGCTGCACCTCACAAAGGTGAGACTACTTTATCACTGTTTAAAAAATGATAATATCTGGCTAAACCTCCTGTACTCTGTATGATAAGTGCAGCCATAAATGTGAACATCTAGCTTCTAATAAGTGTACACCAGTGCAAAGTACAGTATGTGATCAGGGTGATGGTTCCCTGCCAATTTTCTCCCCTCTGTCATCTTAAAATTTAAGTTTTCATTCTAAATTTTGAAGCCAAATTTCCAAATGTTGTAGTTCTTACTCAGGTTGAAAACCTTTAAGGAATTTTGCAACTTTGTGCTGACCTGCACTTTTCCAGCAGGGAGCACTGAATAGCAATCACCTGTAGGAATCCTACCTGCCTGAAGTCTCCCTTCTCTAGAGGGGAGCACAAAGGCTAATTTATAATGCTAATTAGTTTCCTCACCTGGAACCAGTTTATGGCATAGACAGAGAACTGAATCTCCATCTCTCTGGGACTGAACTACACAAAACCAAGTCTTTGGCCATTATACCATCGGGGAGCTTGGATCAGAGGTTTTTTTTCTTTTAATTGTGGTGAAAGTAGTTGAACTGAGCTTCTCAGTAAGGTTAAACATTAAAAATGTTGTCTGGTAAAATAAACATCCAATCTATCACAAAGGAAGTGTAAATAAATACAATTAATAAACATAGCAGCATATAGTATAAGAATCAAAGGAACACGGAGAACAAGACATTTTGCACTTAAAACCTTTGTGCTATTCCTCTTGAGAGATAGGTTGAATTCCTATAAGTGTGCACTTCACTACTGAAGTTTAGGGCTTTTTTTAAAAAAAAGACATTAGTAGTAGGAACGTGTTTGGTTCTGACCAGTTAGCGTAAATCATCCCTTTCATCTGAGTACAAAAAGATAATAACATGCAGCTAGGAACCGACACTGATGTAAAAGAAAGGTCTCTGACTGGATGTTCATAGTCGAACTATTTGGTCACTCCTGTAGAAAAATAGGGACCAGCTTTATTATACCTCGTCACAACTTTCAGTCATAATTTGTTTCTCTTGTGTAACATTCTTAATCCAGGTCTAGCCCTGCTGTTTTGATTACAAAGTATCTATAAAGCTTCTATATCTATAAAGTGAATCTATAAAGAAGAACATATGAATCCAAATATTTTTAATGGGAATTGTTGCCAGATAATTGTATAAATGTGGTGTGGCAATCTAACTTATATTTTTAATGAACAGAACAGCAAGGTCTTCTCTTCATTTGTTCCTCAAATATGAATTCAAAACATCCAATTTTATATACGTTGTATTGCCAATAGAGAGCATAGTTTTGTTGAATCTTCTAATGAAATGTGCTGGCTTTTAAATAATTTACATTCTTTTTGCAACAACCAAAACTGTATATAAACAGCAAATGTATAAACACTAAGATTTCAAGAAACCATCAATGCCTGTGTTCAGTATTTCAGCAAAACAATGCAGACATCTTTATATAAACCAAGAGTTAACCAACAGGGTTCCAACTCAACTTTGCAATATCAAACACTGTACAAAATATACACAAGTCTACAATCTTGCAAGGAGGATTTGTCCATGACATGAGGTTGCTGCCTTGTGCAGGCTTGTTGGGAATTTATTTTGGACAACTGCAGCAGTTGAACAAGTCAATACTCATATCTATACACTGCAACAATCTACACAACTTAATAGATTTGTTGGAGATCCAAAATCCATCTACCTCATCTGACACATTGCAATAGCAACGCAAATTAGTTAGCAGAATTCAGTCCCTACATAGTTGGACACTCTTAGTGAACAGAAGTGCCATTTAGCAAATGCTGGGATACAAACTGATTGTGGCAGAGCATTTTTTTTTGTGACAGCCGACAAGACTTAATCAATTTCACATTGCAATAATTTGAGCAATACTAACTTTAAAATGAATCTGTTCTGTCAGGACCTGGTGGAAGAAAAAAATCACTTTATTCTGTAAGGGACGAATGACATTGAATTAACTTTTTTTGCATACTATATTGTATTGGACAGTGTAAGGTTTTTTTTCCATGTCTATAACGGTGTAGCTTTCAGAAACTTACAAATTGGGAAACATAAAACAAACAATTGAGTGTTTTGAGCATATTAGGGCTGCTATGTCACTAACTGAAGCTGGGAGCTTAACAGACTGACTTACAAAATCCTAGATAAAGAGTGCGGTTTGACTTCATTATTAATAGAGGTGGTGTGTATTTATTATATCTGTTTCTCACTAATCTAAAAATGTCCAGTCCTATTAGCTCTTATTGCCATGAAAACATTCTGCCCGAATACTCCTGAATTAAACCAAAGTTGAAGCCTGGATTTTACAATAGTCCCATTTCAAATCAGACTCTCATTGACATAACTATCATTCAAATCTTTTTTTTGGAGGGAGGCAAAGGCGGTGGGGAGGTGGGGGTGGAATCCATGGTTTAACAGATTTTTCAAAGGAAGGTTTCTTTTTTCACTTTGTACTGAGTTCTAAAGCTGCATGCATGAGTTCATTTGAGCCTGACCCAGTATGTGTACATATATTCTGCTCTTTTTCTAAAAAAATCTGCTTGAATCATTCTCAATCAAACTCTGCATCCAGATATTACACAAAATTCCACTGAAATCAAGGCTTGCTTTCAGCATCAGCTTAAATGATGGTAAGTGACACTGGTCTTGTATCAACAGATTCTATTTAAAATGTCTACTTAGCGAATTATAGACCTTTAAGGTTACTAAGAGTTGATCAGATAAGATCTTAATCTAATAGTAAAATACTATTACCTAGTTATAATGCATTCCTAACAAATTGAGCAAGCAGTTGTAGCTAAACCAACACATTGCTGTTCAGTTAGGAAAAGGTCCAGGGTTTCATACTAAAACTCATGTATGGAGCATTGCTCACCAGTGTTGATACCCTGCAACAATTACAATGATTTAAAAAAAGGGCTGATGGAATTGCTTCTTTTCTGTCAATGAGACACTTAACTGTGGTAGAATGAAGTTTCCCTTTTTTAAAAAAAGTAAATGCTTTATTAAAAAAGCCATGTTTTCAGTTAAAACTTACAATGGATATTGAAGTGCTCAACTTTATAAATTGGTAGCTTGTGTTGGATGCATTGATGTAGTGCAAATAAATAACTTGTTAAAAAAGACAGGAAACCAGGTGATGTACAGTGCTGCAGTGGACCTAAGTGTGGTGGGTTGAGAGAGCAAATCAAGTCCACCGTCATTCCTTCGACCTGGACAATGGAGCTCGAGCATATTAACATCTGGGTGGATCAGTCGACAGACCGAAGATGTTAAGTCTGAAATAGTTTATTTTAAATTGTAAAGGTAGAATCTTGAGGTGGAGTGTGGTTTGTAACTTGTAAAGCAGTTGCAGCTAGGAATGGCAATTTTGAATCTGCTTTGGAGTTGATAGGAGGCTGTTTGCTCACATCTTAAGTATCTTATTCATTGAAGGAACCCACTTTACCTTTACCCTTCACATAACTAATAAGGCATTGTCCTCTTAATTTTGTGTGGCTTTTAGCTCAATTCATGTCATGGGATTAACTAAACAAGCATTGAAAGACACTTTACCATTCCAGAGTAAGTCTCTTCAGGCAGGGCTCAAATAATAGAATATTAACCAAGATATTTGTGAAGCACTATTATGCTTTGTAAGCTTTTTAACCCATCAGCATATATCCCAGCATTCGTTTACATCAGTCTGCTCAGTCTAACTTTGATTCAAATAGATTTTTCTACCACAAAATAAAATATTCCAGTAAACTTATATTTTAAAATAAAACTCATCAATTTCTTAATGCAAATTACTTCACTGGGCTATCCCCTGCCACAAGCTTGTCTGGGGGTGAAATTCTGCTGTTCAGTGTGGTTATTCAACTTTGCAGGCATGCACTTATAATGGAACCATCTCATCTTAGGTGCACGCTGTCAAGTTCAGTACCTTTTCTAACCAGCAGAATGTAATTCTGTTGTATATCAGAGCTAGTGTCCAGTTCCTATACATTGAACAATTTCAATCTAAACTCTGGGCATTTGTCTCTTAGGCACTGGTACTATGGTTTCTATTCAGATAATGTCATCACGGATAAGTGTGCTCAGATCCCAAATGATGACACTCAGTTCACATTTAATGAAAACCAATGTTCTACTTTGTGCAGGAAGTTAGATACAATTCAATCAAAAATAGTTACATACTCACTGCCATGTTTCCTTTACACAAAAATAATCATGGTAGTTGCATGGTAGTGCAGTGTTAGAGCACCATAACTTGCCACTAAGTGGCGTGCAGCTTTGATCCACTCACTCAGGTGAGCTCCAGATCTCAGCACCGCTGCAGTTTGGAAGGGCCAAGTAGAGGCCAGAGTCCTGTGGTGATTCTGTGTGTTTGTGTACACAAGTGGATAGAGGCAGAGGAAGTAAAATTCCCCAGGCCACTCACTTTTTTTTCCCAACCAGAAGATCAAGTAATAAATCATGTTGTTGTCCCAAATAAAATTAGTGTGTGGTTCAGACAAGTGGGGATCTGGACACAAAACAAACCAATTTCATAACAAAAATATGGGTGAGAATTAATTGGGATGGAGGGTCAGCTATTGATTACTTAAATCAAATAGTCCATTGATGATTACAAATTATTTTTGATGGTTAATGCACTTCAACATAATTAGATGGAATTAATATTTTAGACCTGGTTAAAACATTAACACTTTACTTTCAACATCCCAGTAATCCTTACATCAGCTGTTGCACTGCTAAGCTCAGAGGCTGTACCAAACCCGTTTTGTCACCTCCAAAGCCACCTTTTTGTAATTGTTTTGTTGCGCTGGTTGGTTCACACCACTCTGAAGATAAGGTTTGGCTGGTATATCGTACACTGGACAGGACCCATTTCAGCCCACATCTCATTTTTGAGCAGGGTGAGAGGAACAGTTTATCAGATGCTCATGATTTCAGTTTTTCACCTTGTGAATTTAATAACAGTCTCACAGTCTTCAGTCAATAATTCCATGGTGGAACCTAGAAGGTCTAGTAATTCGGGCACACACCGTACCAACTGCAGAGACATCCTCCCATCCACAGAGCAGAACTGGAGGTCACTAAGCTGGGGATGGAGCTGGCTGGTAGATACCTGTCTGTAAAATTCAGCTTCAGTAATGGTGGCAATTTCAAAGTGAGAATAGCGGGACTGGAAAATCCTAACAGACATTTTTAGTCTTCGGAGGACAGCAGGTAATAGCAGCCAGTTGCAAGGGCTGTAAAAATAAGGAGAAAGGAATGTTAAATATTCTTTTAAGTAAGATTTTAAAACAAAAAGGTTTTCACTTTTTAAAAAGTACGTTTATTTTCTTGACACAATTGCCAAAAACTAAACCTGCAAATTTTGTAATGAAATAATCTGCATCTAAAAATTTTAGTTTTGTCTCATTACATTGATTTGTTTTCATACTATCTCAAACTTAAGTTGTATCTCGATTACAAGTGTCAGGATGAATGAAAGGTCTGTTTTCATTGCATCAAACAGTGAACCACATGAATGAAAATTGGATCTTTCATTCATGGCATTGTTGTAATTTAGTAATTAGTTTTCACTTTAATGCTTCCATGTGGCTCATTTTGTTGACTAAATACACATAGGTTGGAAAATTGTTCTACTGTTTTTGTTTAAATATGTTTAAATTGCAGATTTCTTATTGCAAAAGGGATATGGGGATAAGGCGGATTTGTGGAGTCCTGTAGCTCAGTGGTTAGAGCACTTGCTTTGCAAGTGAGAGACCTGAGCTCAATTCCAGGCAAAGGGCGAAACCTTGGGCAAGTTTCCTTACTCCACACAGAGCCTAATAATAATCCCTCCAAAACCAAAAACAATAATAAATTGGTCATTTTCAATCTACGACTGCTTGTGGGACATTGCTGTGTGCAATTGGCTGCCGCGTTCGCCCACAAATATACAGTCAATTCACTTTACAGTGTGTTCTGTAAAGCGCTTTGGGACGTCCTCCCGACGTGAAAAGCGCTATATCAAATGCAAGGATTATTATTATTATTTTTAAGGCAGGGTCAGGTTATTAGCTGGAGTTAGATTAGAAGATCAGCCATGATTGAATGGCGAGGCAGGCTCCTGCATGTTATGTTAAATAAAGGAAAGAACTAGGACTGAGTCATGTTGTAGGTCCTGAAAATCGTGTACTCTTTCTCCAACTTAACTGTGTGTGGGTATTCTCAAAGCATACTTAAGTGTTTTGAGTGAAAAGTGCAGGAATGAGTCAGTTTTGATGCAACAATGACAAAAAAGGAAGTTCCAATGCATGCATCACAGTAGAGAAAGAATTGGGAAGGGTTGATGCAGAGGTTAAAGATTTTTCCTTCATTCGATCACTAAAATCAATTGAATTATATAATCTTGTTTCAACTGGATGTAATGTATTTATTTTCCAGATTTTTATGTTTGGATATCACTAATACCGAACCAGCTATTATCCGCAAATTAATGTGTACCTATGAATGACACAAAATAATAATTATAATAAACTTTGCATTTGATATGGCACCTTATCATGTCATCAAGATGTCTCATAGCACTTCACAGGATATATTATGAAGTGGTTTGACTGTATTTTATGGGTGAAATGCGGCAGCCAATTTGTGTAGAGCAATGCGCCCAAGACAGCCATGGAGTGTGGAAAATATGAACAAACTGCAAAAGCCTGCTAAAAATCTAACTTCGGCATAGGTGCTTCTGTACATCCATTTTGTGACTTAGACTCAAATGCTAGACAGTTTTGGTTGATCATTATAGAAATGTATTCTCAACAAAAGAGCAAATAACAGGGACTGAATCTAATCTGATCACTACCTCTTTATGTACCAATGGTGTCTAATTATAACTTATTTCCAAAATGTATCTGTTTTTCAAATGATTTGAAATTGAGCTCTTACCTACAAGAAAGAGAAGTTTGTATATTGTAACACAGAAGAAAAGGCTTGTCTGAAAACTCAAACACAAAATAATTCTTGTCTTCATCTTTCTCTTCATCAGGGGGATTTGCCAGAATATCACACGCCATCTGCTTGCCCCATTCTGAAAATGTTTCAGAAAAGCATAATAACTAAATCATAAGAAGGTCTGTCAAAGAATGTGATTGCTTATACATAGATTAATAGTGCATTGATAGTTACCCGCACCCCACCCAAAAAATAACCTAATCATACCAGACTGCAATATCATCCAATGTGATTGATGAAATATAGAAACAAAAGCCATTCAGCCCCTCAAGCCTGTTCCGCCATTCTATAAGATCATGGCTGATCTGTACCTCAAGTCCAATTACACGCTCTTGCCCCGTATCCCTTAATACCCTGACCTAACAAATTAACTGGTTGTAATATGGTTTGTACTAATAATTTGATTTTTTTTAGGGGAACAAAAGATGAAATTTCACAATGTTTTAGTTCTTTGAGATTCAATAAGAAATCTATTGATTCTATAGTATTAAACAACTCTACTACTCACCACATGCAGAGCTTCCATAAAACTCCCAGGATAGGGCTGGATCATTCTCACTGCGGCCTCTAAGATCAGTAAAATACTCTACCCAAAGAACAGAATTGAATAAAAACATGATTGTTTAATAGAATTTTGATTGAAAGATTTGACTCTTTATAGTACATTAGGGCAAAACTAACATTAGTTTCCATAACTCCAAATATGATTTTAGGGCATAGACTGGAAAAATCTATTAATGATTCCAAGTGAATGAGAACCCCAAATTCTTAATATTAATAACCAGTAACCAATTTATAATTGGAATGAAAGTGTAATACAATCATAACATAAATGTCAATAATGTAAACTAGTTTGTAATGGTTAAATCAAAACTCATTCTTCCCCAGGAACTAAAGAATATTGTAGTCCTTCCTACCGTGTTTCCTCCCTCCTACTATCTATAGATAATACCCAAATCTGGCATTGTGTTTCCACTGCTGCTTGACTCACTGGATCTTCTTTTCAACTGCACTATGGACCTCACCCATATGATCTAAATGTACAAATGTTGAATATTTTTTGTAGTCAAGTAAATTGAAGAATTGTAAATTCATTTGAGTAACAGATAGATTGTACAGCAGGAAACAAGCCCAGCTATTCTGTGCCAGTGTTTATATTCCATGCGAGTCTCCATCCCTTCCTTACTTCCTCCCATAATCTTCTATTCTCTTTAACTCGTGCAAATCATATACCTGTAAGAAACTGTTCCATTGGTTCACTATGAGTCATCTTCAGAACACTTTGACCCGAATAGGTAGCGAGGGTGGGATCTGCACCGTATGACAGAAGGACCCGAACAACATCCAGGTGATCATTCACAACTGCATCATGAATGGGTCTAAGTACAAAAACAAACCTCGATCAGTTAACTTAGAAAAGTCAATCTTATTGCACGCTTCAAGTGGGATAGCAAGACCGTTTCCTAGTGTGCATTTGTCTTACAGGACCATGACACGAATCTGGATTGTATACGCAGTGTGATGGACCATTTAAAAATAATTAACTTCATCAGGTCTTTATTCTTCAAATGGAAATCCTCCTCCATGTACTATGACAACAAGCCCAGTTTGCAGAAGCCAATGCATTTTAATAGACTGAGCATTAATTAAATGTAATTGGTCCGATCAATCTCCTGCAGTGCTATACAAAAAACACACATCTCCTGGGTGCGGTCAATTATTTTTTCACAAGAAAACGAACTACTGAAATACAGCAACCAGCATAATACAGTAATTTCAGAATATTAACTGTATAGAGTCCAACCCCAGTATAACAGTCTCCCTGGTATAGTGTGGCCTCACGTAGACTGTTGTCATGCAGTATTACCTTGTGGTGAATAGATAGATTCCCACAGTAAAGAATAGTAATTCATTCACTATATATTATGCACAGGCAGGGCGGAGGTGTACGTTGCTGCCAATGCATTCAAGATAATGCAAGGTATGCACAGTAACCTTGGTATGTTCCACAAGAAACAATTGTCTGGTATTAAAAAAAAACTATCTCAGCAGGAAGAGTGTCACTAGAAAATGGACCAATGAAGAATAAATGTGCATTTCATACGACTCTTACCTGGTACCATCCTGTGCCCCGCAGTTTACATCTGCTCCATGATCCAATAGACGTATGACAATTTCCAGCCATCCACGTGCGCAAGCCTCATGCAGTGCTGTGTAACCTGCATTGTCCCGGTGGTTCAGGTCGCATACTTCATTTTCAAGGCAGTAGATAACTACATCCTATCCAAAAGGAGATCAGATATAAAAAAAACTCACCAATTTGTGAGTAATAGTGAGACAGCAGAATGAATAAATAATGATTGATCAATTTGCCAATAAGCTCACAGCACTGTCTTATAAACAGCCATGAACTGAATGAGCAACTTTAAATGTGGATTGTTGATCAAGACACCAGGACAAAAACTTCCTATTTCCGAATAGTCCCACGCCATCTTTAACGTCCACCTGAACAGGTACAGACAGGACCTTGGTTTCGCATCTCAGCCAAAGTATGACACCACCAACAATGCAGCACACTGAATGAACTGGAGAGTCAGCCTACACTACTGAGTTCACAAGTCATGATGTAAGGCCTGAATCCACAACTTTCTGATTCAGAGATCAGAGTGATAGCAACTGAGCCAGGTTGGGTGCTTTCTTAGATAAAAGTTGAAATGTAATTACATTGCTGCCAATGCATTCAAGATAATGCAAGATTGCCTCTTTGAAACGGTATCTTCCACCCATAACAGTTCATCTCACTTTTTCTAATATAACACTTTCAGCTAGAAATTGCTGAAATGTTGTGCCATGGCAGTGCACAGCAGTGGATACCTTCCAATGATGTACTGCATTCAAATGCTAGTCTAGTATAGTACAAACAGATTAGTTTAAGTAAACTTAATGCCTTATCTCCTCCAACCATTACATGCCTCAGCTGGTGCTCTTAACGTACAGTCAAAGCTCTATTAAGGAATGAGATACAATGAACAAGATAAAATGCTGCTGAAAATGGAAGAAACTGAAGAAATCCTGACGACACTTTACATACAGCAAAGTGTGGAAATCAGACTCTCTTGTTAGGCTACATGAAAGCTCTTAAAGGTAAGGTTTAAAATGATTTGATTTCCCTCATTTAGATAATTCTTCAATTCTGATTTTTTATTATAAAAAAGAAAATGCTAGTGTTAGCAATTATAATAATCCTATTTTAATACTATTTGATATAGCGCCTTATGTTAAAACGTCTTTTTTAAAGTGGAGTGCCTATGTATTTGTAGTAAAGCGCAGCAACCAATTTGCACAAGTAATGTCCTACAAACAACCATGAATTGATTGTACAAATTTTTTTAACTGGAGGATTATTACCCAGAAAGAACACCAGGAGAAACTCCCTTCTCTTTTTGAACAGTGCTACTGGATCTTTGATGTCCAACTGAACAGGCACAAGGACTGTGGATTAATGTCTCATCCAAAGGACAGCACCAACGACAATGCAGTTCTCCCCCAGCATTGCAAATTCTGACTATATGTTCCACAAGTCCAGTCGTGACGATTGATATATTAGCCCCAAATGAGGACTTTTTAAAAAAACTTAAATTTGTTCTATATTTTGCTTAAAAATGCCAATTTAGCTCTCATCGAGATGTAAACAAGCTTCTACACTTACGACTGCTACTATCTTTTAAAAACACAATAGTGATGCCTTGTGGCAATACATGGGTATTGCAAAAACACTTATTTTAATGCAGTAGTTCATTGTAAAAGAACTGAAGGGAAAATAAACAGGGTGTACCCCAAAGGCAGCAAGTCAGAATTTGGAGTAACTGATCAGCCTTTGTCAAGTAATACTACAAAATACAGTCACTTCACAGTAAGTCTTATGAAGCACTTTTTGATGCGAAAGTGGTTTCTTAGAACGTGAACTGAACTTCGGCTCTTGGCAAATTAATAATAATAATCCTTGCATTTCAAATAGCGCCTTATCACGACTTCGAGACATCTAAAGCACTTCACAGGATATAGTGTAAAGTGAATTGACTGTATATTTTGTAGGCGAAACGCAGTAGCAATTGTGCACAGCAGTATCTCACAACACTCGTAGTTTGAGTAACCAAATTATTTTTATTTTTAAAGAATTATTACCTCAGAAAAAGCGATCCGCCAATCAACTAACAACTGGGTTCCTACTTTCGGCTTGGTAAACAGAGGGGTGTGGAGTAAGGAAACTAGCCCATCAAGCGAGAGGATCAACAAACCCAGGTCCTCCTGCTTACGAGGCGAGTGCTCTAACCACTGAGTGACAGGTCACCACAAAGTTAAACAGCTCCTAAAACAATACTGAATTATGGATCTTACTTCATAGCCCAATCGTGCTGCCTTCTGCAGCAGTGTTTCACCGGCATTCTTATTCACTATTAGCTTCCGCCCTTCAGATTGTGGCTGTTGTCCTGTGGATGTCTCTGCCTGAGTTGATGGAGACTGCAGCTGTACTGGTGTACGTTTAGCGGGTGTGACAGAGGATCTCCGTTTTGTCCAACGACCTGAATAATCACGCGACCTCTTTGGTGATGGGGTCCAATCAGAATCTTGCATTGATGCTGAGCGCTTTTGGGTATGGTTCTGCCTTACTTTAATCTGTTACGGCAAAAAACACAGACCAGTCAGTGCAGAAAAGAAACAAATTACATGCAATATAATTCTAAGACAACCATAAAATGTATTCTTTTGTATATAACATGAAGCAACTGGTTTCTCATGCAATAAACACAAGCAGCTATAATTAGCTTTAAGACTGAACTTTTTCTTGCAATTGATTAATTCCTGCTAATCGTGTTCAATTAAACATCTTTTATAAAAAAATAATAATAATAATTCTTGCATTTAATATAGCGCCTGATCATGTCTTCGAGACGTCTCAAAGTGCTTCACAGAATATACCATAAAGTGAATTGCCTGTATATTTTGTGGGCGAAACGCGGCAGCCAAATGCGTACAGCAGTTTCCCATAAACAATCGTGGATTGATTAACCAAATTATTATTTTTTTGAAGGGATTATTATCCCCAGAAAAGCGATCCACTAATCAACTGGATTCCGACTTACTGCTAGGTGAACATAGGCGTATGGAATAAGGAAACTTGCCGAATTATTCGGCCTGCCCGGGAATTGAACCCTGGTCCTCTTTCGCTTGCGAGGCCAGCGCGCTAACCACGAAGCTGCAGAACTCCACATCTTAATTCTCAACCTAAGTCAACTGGGAATTCTATATTTAATTGACACTTAACACATTCAGCACCAGTTGGGGTTGGAAAGTATCAATAATAAGGTTTATGATTAAAAAAGTACAATTCCAGTGCATCTATTGAGAGCAAATGTATTAATCCAATCTAAGTCAAATAGCTTTAGGAACCACAATGACACTTTATTGCAACTCTCATGCACTGTCAGTGCAAAAGAGTTTAGCAGTTTAGAGAAAGGACAATCATTTTACCGGCACCTCTCATTGTACACAAAAACTCGACATTAATAGAGAGCAGGCTAAAGTTTTGAAATGATACTGTCTCAGTTTTGTTCCATCACTCAACAAAAAATTAAATGCTTACCTTGCTTTTTTCTTGGTGTTCTTTGTTCGTATCTTCGTCTAATGATTGGGCCCCAATAATGTGCTTTGTCTTACACTTGCGCTTTCCTGATGGCTTTGCTGACTGGTGCTGGTTTGAAGAATCTGGCGTATGCTCCAAATTGAGATTCCCAGTGCTACAAGAGTCCTTGTGTTTCCGTGCACTACTTGGCACAGAAGAGCTGCGTTTCGGACTCAGGTTCCAATCAATGCTGGGAAATTTAGATGAGAGACTCGATCTCTTTCGTGGTGAGATGAGAGGTGTCCGATTACCTTTCAATAAAGATATATTTAATTAAGTGGATAAAATAGTAGTGGATTAAAAAAAACTTAGGGCTAGATTGAGTCTGCGCTAGAGATCTGTGGGCTTTCACAGATGCCCCATTTTTACACATTTAAAAAAAAATGGTGAGTTCATACTGCAACCAAATGGTATTGATACTTTACCTGGCGTGGCTATCTGTCGTGTGTGTATCCCCGTGCTATTTTCCTCCCCTTGATGAATAGAGATTTCACAATCCGGTTCACTTTTTATTTTCTTGCTGCTTCTTCTTGTTCGTCTTTTGATGGCAGAGTTCCGTTCATCAAGACTTTTGCAATTCTCATCAGTCTCTGCTGTACAGTTCAAGTCATGTGACTCCAAACTATGCTGTTCCCCTGGCTCAGTAATTAAGCCATCAACAGTCCTTCTAATCTCATTTTCTTTGGTCTCTTTATTCGTTTTGTCCTCTGTTACAAACAACTGAGCCTTCGAGTCCTGCGTTTCTTTTAAGCCATCTTCCACTTTCTCGTGCATAGGTTGTTGTTCTTCTAATGCACTCTCTCGCTGATTACTGGCCACGTGTACAGATGAGCCACAGTTAGTTTCTGCAACACATAAATTGAAAACTCCTTTATAATTCACAGAATTCTTTAATCATCCAGTATTTTGAAAATGCTACATTTTTGCAATCTGCATGATCCCATGTCTGGTTATTTTATATTATTTTCCTACCAATGTAGGAGGTGTTGCAGACAGACATGTTGTACATAATTACCAAAAGCCTTGTCGCCTGTGTAATCAACTTACATGGCCATAATACTTTTTCTTATATAAAAAAATAAGGCAATAGACCTTGTATTAGTAGATATGATTGAGCTGTTTTCCAGTTAAATATATTGCTTGATTAAATATCATTTCTGCCTAAGATATACATTTGATCTTTTATTATAATTACTATAATATTTAATATCAACTGCTGGCCAGATGTTGTCCCTCTTAAGATGACCAGTGTGGGCAACTGGTGAAGTCCACAGATGTGGAAAAATGTTGAAGTATCACAACAAAAAGTGCAGATAGCGTGTCCACTATATAAAATAATAATAGATAATACTTAATTTGGTATAGTGCCTCTCAGGCCAGGAGGATGTCTCAAAGCACTTGGTAGGATACACTGTGAAGAGCAGTGACTTTCTATTGTGGGCAAACTCAAATAGAGGCAATAGTGTGTTTAATACCTAAGCTTGGTGCAGTTTATGGCATCTGAAAATTTTGATTGGGTTATTCTGTGAATTGATTTGTACCACACAAAATAGTAGATGGATATTTTGAAGGTCATCTTTTTAAAAAAAAGCCAGGCAAATGAGTGACGCAGGGCATTATTATACTGCCATTCAGCTCTGGAACATTGGTTAATAGGATGGAATTCTGTTCTCTCTGCTAACTATACGAGTTCTATGTTGTTACTTTGTGGAGAGTCAATTCAATTTCTAGTGGATGATGGACCAAGGTATACAATGGTCTATAATTTGATAAATCTAACTCGAGTCATAGACAGGGCCAGATTAAGAAATCTGGGGGCCCTTTGAACTATGCACGCAAAATATGCAACAATACCTTTTTAAAATACTTGTTTTTATAGTTGCAAACATACCAACTACATGATCAAAACTTAGTGGTAACTTAGTCAAGTCATGCTGAATAGACAGAATTCTGTGTGCATTCAATCCATCCTGGATCACTGTAGATTTATTTTTTCAGCACCACTAAGATGAGCTCTATTGCTTGCCAATGCTCTCTCTCAATGGCAAACTGTGCACTTTTAGCTGGTTAGACTTCAGCAGTACTCCAATACACACTGTGGTCCCCAAGTCTTGGCTCTTGCCAACCTGCACCTAATACTTTCCAGAATTAGTTAAGCAGGATGCATCCCTCCAGCGAGAGAGTGCCCATTCCATTATCTGGAATTTCCATGTGTAGGTGGTATGCATGGAACTCATTTTGGTTTGGATACTCTCAAGCAAAGTGATGGGTTTCTGCATGTGTCGACATTCAGTTTACAAAAAAAAAGCAACTCTATTGCTGCTAGACATGGTTCCCACTCTCCATGCTGCCTCTTACTTCCTCCTCTTCCCTCCCTGTCGTTCTTTGTGCTATCTCTCACAAGGTTATACGAGGCACAAGACAACATGGAGAGTGATGGGAACAAGGGCGGAGAATGACAGGAAGAGGTGAATCTTGTCGACGCTCTTCTCATCGCTAAATGCGCTGCCCAGAAGAGGCGCAGATGGGAGGTCAAAGTGTCAACCATATCTGGGACCCCCTCCGATCTTGGGGCCCTAAACCACCACTTACCTGGGTTATTGGTTAATCTGGCCCTGGTTACAGAATAGCAAATATGGGAAATTAAAAAATTCAATTGGTACAGTGATGTGTGAACCTTTGAGGGGGAAGTAAAAGTTGATTCATTGGGGTGAAGCAAAGAAAACTGTGCTTAATTGCTCACCATACGTCTGAGGCTCAAAATGGACCAGGGATTGCTAACAAGGCTATCCTTCATCTTGATTAGAAGGATTCACCACATACACAAAATTCATTTTACTACATATACAAAATTAATTAAAATAATAAACCAAAATCAGTCATATTACCTCCACTGATGTCTGCCCTTTCTTCTACAAGTAAACATGATTCCAACGCCAAATGGTACCTAACTTCACAAATTAATATAACATGTTGAATGATAAGCCAGTTGGATGTCTGAAGACAAGTAAAATCATGGTGGCTAATACATCAAAAGTTGATATGCATTATGATATATTCACTATGCCATTAGTATTTCTAATCAATGGTTATTTCAAGGTTGCTACTGGACACTGAAGATTTTCCAATTTAAAATGTGACGGAAAAAGTATTTTAATTTCCCTGGTTAATCATCTGAAATAATTAAGAATTGTGTTTTACAATTTTAACAATTGGGAAACTGAATTTGCAGCAATTTTCATTTCATGTGTATGAACCAACAGGGGACAAAGCCAAGAAAGACTGCAGGAACTGGCCAAAAGTACATCTCCTGGGAGCAACAGTATGGAAATAATTAATTTTGCCTTCTAGAGCCTCTACAGGTAAAATGCAGTAACTAAAACTGCTTTCATCTAACCCATAACAAAGTATAATGAGCTCCTGGAAAATATAATTTAGACATTCACGAGAAAAACCACAGTGGAAAGGAAAAGATTTCCAAACAAACAGTATCACAGTGATGGTCTATGGGTACTTTCTCTCAAATCAATCTCAAAAAGGTTTTGGCACAAATATAAATATTACTCGTTATTTCCTGGTATCGTGAAGACCCACTGTTTTAGGTCTCCAAATCAGTCCCCAGCTGCTGCATGATTCTTATGAGGGAAGGAGCCATATGTATCCTGGAGTGGCTTCCTGTATTTCATTGGAGGGCTGCAATGAACTGGAACATTTTCCCAGTCCCTGGTACAATGTATGATATAACCTTCAGGCACACTTTGTCACAACTCCTTACATTACTAAAGTAAAAATGAACATCTCAATAATGCCTGCTAAGATACCCAAATGTTTGCCCAAAATAAATCCTCTATAATATGGGTCAAGAGCCTTGCATTTCCCATCTGTTCTACCTCATAATGTCCTACTCACAGAAAGCTTTACCCACCTGACTGACTACGAGTCCTGGTTTTCAACACCACTGGAATGAAGTCCTTAAAACTATTTTTGCCCTTTTTCAGAGGAATATCTGAGAGAAAAAGGAAACAGAAGCTAACACTGAATAAATCATTCACATTCTACCTGTCAATTTACTCCTTAAAGTAGTGCTGGATATATTGCTGAACTATTTAAGCCCTGTGCCCATGATTTTGAGGGATATTAGTATTGGAGAATGAAGCACTTTCCCATTTGAGCCACCCAATGTCATCATCAAGCACTGCCAAAGCCATCATATAATGAGTAAAACTCCCCCTAATCTGCCTCAACAATATTCTTAGCCCCAAAATCAGACGGGTGCCTTTATTGCACAATGTAACACGTTATCTTCCACTCAAGTTATTCTTGTGGTATTTCGCAGTGCCTATATGGTGCCAATTAGAATGGCTGTTTTTGTGCTGTGGTCATACAAGGAATGATAAGAGCTTCATCCTGTGAGTTTAGGCTCATTGCAAACCAGATTTTGGAGGTGACAGTCAGTTTGCTAACTCATTGCATCAACCAGTTTTCAGTTTTCAAATCCAAAATAAGAACATTACATAATCATATTTCAAAGCACTTTACAGAGGGTTTTTTGGCTGCAAAAATATAGTGACTGTTTATTTGCATGCAACCTTGACAGCCAATTTGTTCACAGCAATGAGCCACAAACAGCCAGAAAGTGAATTGCCATTTTTTAGGTGGAGGGTTTTTGGCCAGAACACCAAAATAAACGGCCTTCAAAAATGGCAATTAGATATTGATGTGTACAATTAATGTGTCAGTTACTATTACTTTACTAATATCATTGCTTTTCGCCATTGAAACACAAGTTTAATTCCAGTCTGGATTAATGAATAAACGTCTCCTTAGTCTGTTGGATTGTAAGGAACTCACATGAAATGAGCAATTTCAATTCAGTTTCTAGTGGGCACGATCCATGATAGCACTCAATGTGATTAATACAATATATCCACATTGAAAGATTTTCATTGTGACATAATCATTTAATCAAGTGACAAGTAACAGCTGGTTAACAGTATATATGTATGAAATTACATGCATGGTAATTTTCTTAAGTTATATGCCACGTGTTTCAATCGTAGCCTGAAACACTGTAAAGCTGAAAAAAAGGCAATTTCAGCTGACAGCAAGTGGTTAAAGTGGCTGGACCTGCAATTCAGCTCTTAACATCCATCTCCTGCAGGCATGCTTGGTGGCAGACTTCCTCACTACCAGAATGCACAAAAATTCACTACTAATGGCAACAAGGCTCACCTATACTCATCAGCTGGAGTGGAACTAATCTATAAACTCTTGTTGAGTTGCGAAGCAACCTTAATCTCTATTAGGCTGAAACAGTCTCTGTTAATGGAGGCAGATCTTACCTATACTCCCTTAGCAAGAATGAAATTGCCCTGCCAGCACTATATTTTATTTCACTTCTACCAAGCCGTATGGATAAGCTCAGCCTCCATTAGCAGAGTACTCTAATGTTTAGCAATAGAATGACAGTGATCTCCCACTGTCCATCTATCTCCCTTTAGAAGCTTTTCTTTCTCACTTTATCTTTTCCCCAGTAATCCTTCATCTGCATTTGTGAGAAACTGTTTTCAGAAACAAAGTTTACTTTTAGAAATCTCGGAATGGTGATTATTGGATCAAAATGCTAGTCTGAACGGTTTGTCTCTATTCATTGCTGTGAGATTTTAAGAATAAAGCTGAAGTTTTGTTGTGTTGAAAGGAGATGACCAGCAGGAGAGATCCAAATTCTTGTAGTGAGGATCAGAGATAAAATTAAGGTTGAGTTCCTATGTCAACTGTTACAAAACATTTTCAGAGGTTATAAAGAGTTGGTCTAGAACTCTTTATAACTCTCAATAATCTTGGGTTAACCTCAGACTTGAAAATTTGGCCTGAACAACAACAGTGTTGTGGTATTAGGTAGAGATCACATAACTATAAAAAAAATCCAAAAGGTTACAGTCACAAAAATCTTTGTGAAAATGCCGAGACAAGCACCAGATTTTACAGGAATAATCTAATTATGCAGTACGTTATAATTCTGTTGTAGTTTGTTTTCTCCTAGAGCTGCCATAAGAATGCCTTAACATTCATACACTTTATCCAGACTCTTCCAACACAAGCCCTTACAAACTCTGGACTGTATTTAACAAGGAGAATATGTAATTCAGGAAAATCAAATGTCACACAAAAGTATAATTCAGCTACCTCATGCCACTTCTAGTAACTTGGGGCCTAAGTATAAAGTGATGGAATGTTCAAGGAACATTTCAAGTCACTGCTAAAGTAACCTACATCCGCCAGATAGCAAGTTCCTGATCTTGGTTGAAAACAGCTGGAGAAACCAGAAGTCACTTCCCCAAAGGGCACGAGAGAATAAAAAAATTAAAGCTTAGGGCGAGTATTCTTAAGACTGTTCTCAATCATCTCCTACAAAAAGTGATTGATTCAAAAATGTCCTTCTTAGGTCTTCCACCCAACTTTCAATCAGGGATGATGATGATGGACAATGAAAAGCAAAAAAATGTTTCTAAAATGAAAAACAAACTACATTTAATATAACCACATGATCAATCTCTTTCAAGATTCTTTCTATCCTCACATAATAGTATATATAGGGCATGGAGAAGTCATTAAAACAGAGGCATGAGCCAATATCAGTTTCTTATGCTAGGAATGATCGCACATTTAGTTTCCAACAGACTTGTCCAAATCATCACACCACCACTTTTAAATTTAATAAAATAGCATGATATAATTGTTCAGCCACAAACTTCATTAATAAAGTCTCTAAAACAAATGCATGAATACAAACTCAAGTGACCCAAGATGGAGGTCAGTTGTGTTTTCCCTGTCTCTTGTAACGTTCGTCACCATCCTTCAGTTTCTGAAACAAAAAGCTAGCTAAAAATTGCCAAATTCCACAAGCAGACCTCGCACCTCTGGTTGGAAGTCAACAAATCAACTATTCAAAGAACTCAGATCTCCCAGTTATGCAAGGCAGACCGTTATCTCTATCTCCAGTAACTGAATGTCTGATCCAAACAGCAGAGATTGATTAAACCTGTACATCTTTAGGTACAGATTGACACATAACCAAGATCATACCACATATTAGTCTCACCTTTTTCTTTTATTGCTGTTCCAGAAGGCGATTCAGTCTTTGGTGTCCTCAGTCGCCTGCTTCTTCGACTTTCACCATCACATCCTTTGGATGGAGGTGTATCCTTCTCATTCTCTCTACCACTCACTTCGAGATTGCTTGACCGTCTTTTGGATCCCTGCAATTTAGGTTCAACTGCTGTTATGATCTACTTCTGAACCATTATTGTTTTAATAATAATAATCCTTGCATTTGATATAGCGTCTTAACATATCGTTGAGACCTCTCGAAAAGCTTCACAGAATATACTGTAGAGTGACTGTGTGTTTTGTGGGCGAAAAGAGGCAGCTAGTTGTGCACACCGGTGTCCCACAAACAGTGGAGGGGTTATTACCTCCAGAAAGAGATCCGCCAATCGACAAACAACCGGGTTCCTACTTACTGCTAGGTAAACAGGCAGCACAGCCCAGATCTGGCCCATATTTTTATGCACTTTCAATATTCTTTCCCATCCTTTATATCTTTTCTGATCATTTAGAATTTATTTCTTCATTATGCTTTGTGCGAAAGGAAAATGTTACACTGTTGAACTCAGATAATTCTTCTCATTTTCTGGCTAAAGAAAAGGTCTGGGCAAATCAGGGAACAATAATTTAACACTGCTGGGGGACAGATGCTTCATGGAGTCTTTGTCAGTTCTAGACTAATTGGAAATTGAGAATTAGCTGTGTTTTAAAGCAATGGCCAGATGTGAGCAGGACCCAAAACTCTTTTGCTTAGAGCGCCTAAAAGACAAGATTCTGAAATTGGAATGACGAGTGGAGGAAACAAAACACACAAGACACAATGGCCGTCATTGTGACATCCGCACCCAATCAGAAATACAAATTTGCATCAGGGTTAAACAGAAGGACTTGCCCTACATAAAATTCTAAAGCATATCTGTGCACTCTCGGGTTTAGTTTCTTCAATACACGAACCACAAGTTATAACACTTCTGCTGTGTGGAAAACAACTGTAAAGAAAATTTGCTCAAGGGCCTATGTGTATGTTTTTCCTGCAGAACCAACCAACAAAGTCATCTGCAGTGTTATCATGGAACTTGTCCTTTGCTGTTTCAAAGACAACTAGAGAAAGGTCACTTTGATAGAACACTCCAGGACCTGCAAAATCTTTCTCCCATCAATAAAGCAGCAGTGTGTGACTTCACCACAGTAAGGGGACAAAAATGGCCACAGCAAATGTTCACCTATGAGTTTTTCCAGAAGTATTGCAGTTACATCTGAGTTTTACGTGGCTTGGTTACAATCAGCACTTTGGCCTCTTGCTGTTGCACTGAGTGCCAGTATTGATGGTACTTCATTTGGCACAGATTACTTGAGATCATGATTTCTTTCACATTATTGTTTAGTTATAGATTATATCAGAAATCATTACATTATAAACTATTAGCACCCCGGGACGCTACCCCACGTGAAGGGGGCTATATAAATGCAATTTGTTGAATTAGTGAATGGTACAATGTTTTGCTGGAGTGTATACAATTTGGACTGCAACAATATATTGGTTATTTAAAGATTTGTAATTCCTTCTGTGTACATGTATATGGAAGGAATTACAGCTGACGTCAATTATGGAATTAAGAATCAATGACAAGGATTACAGGGGATTTTACCATGGGTTTTTAACCCAAACCACAAATTAGGCACCAATGTTGCATTACAGTATATAAACTATTTTAAATAACTGCCTTGCAGTTAGCAACAGAATCCCTGCATATTAGATCATGACTATTCACACCAAACGTTATTATCACTGAGATTGATGAATGTGTCTAGTTCTATGCAAAATACTAAACGGAGTAAAAGATCACACTCTCCTAATATCAAGTAATTTAAGGTGAGTCAAGAACATAACACTTATTGACACAGCAAGCCAAGACAAGTGGACATGTAGAAAGACTGATATAAGTTTATATGAACAAGATTCATATCCCAGATAAACACAAATCGCCTTAGGAAAGGTTTGATTTTCCAGGTGCCTTTCACGAACTTGGAAATCACTGATGATTGCCAACTCGATTTCCTACCAAAATCTACAATGGCTGACATGTAAAAAGCCGATGACCCATTGCAAGGAATTATTGTACATAACTAAAGATATCCAGAATGTCACTTCTTAGTGATATTCATTACCATGGCACCAAACAACAAGTGACTTTGACCTGGCGTGATAATCTTTCAAATGGATGGACTCCACTTCAGTAATATAAGCTCTTCCACCTTTCTTCTTCCTTGAGAAAATCTACAGGCAAAACTGGGAAGAAGATCATGCTGCCGAGCAGAGCCAAAACACTTCATTCGCATGCCACGTGACAGCAAAGTTGCCCTGGTTTCTATTGGTACCAGTATCAAAATCCGTTGGTTTCTTCTGCTTGAAATTGGAAAATCATGCCTACACTCTTCACAACGTTAACTGTATGCTTGGATAACATTTCAATGGCTGATCCAGAAACTTGCAGAGCATTCATGTTTTAGTTGGATCGACAATGGACCAGAAACCGAGACTACATCAGATTATATTTTGGGCTGCACCGCTTGATGCAATGAAATTATCAGGATATCCGTTGGAGATCAACACATTCTGGTCACATGACCAGAACTGTCAATTTTCTCTGAGCTGATAAGATGAACCTGACAGTTGAACAGACTTTTGAATGATAATAATGGTTCCTGGAAGACCTTAGCACGCGCAATATCTGCTGATGCATTAATCAAACCACGTTGTTCATTTGTTGCAGGGAAATTGCTAGGCATTTTCCCTGCCAATATCTAATTCTCTATCCTACGTGGGAGTGCCTCTTTGACAAACGAAAAGCTCTCTGCACCTGGAGGCCTTAAGCTTCAATATCCTTAATACTCCAGTGGATTATATGGTGGCCTTGTAACCCTCTTGTGAGTCGTGAACAAACTCCACATTTTGAAAAGTTAAGTGATGATGGAAGACATTGAAGAACAGGAAGTAGTCTTGTGAACATGAATCTGACATTGATACATGTTTTGAAGCTGGGAACTGAAATTACCTAGGCCAAGGAAAAGTCTAGCAGGTATGGCTCTGTGTTCGATACTCCAAAACAGCGTCTATGATTTAGTGGAAGAAAGACTCACAGAAGACAAAAAAAGCCTTTCCACACAGCAAAATAATCAATGAGTTTAAAGCAGAACCAAAGAAAACCAACAATGAAGGCGATACAGGAAGATCAACTGTTAGAGACGAGATAAAAGAACTCAAGTCAAGGCTTTTATAAGCAGTAGAATCGAGGAAGATCACTTTATCACAACAAGGTATGAATTGATCCTACATAATATCCCTTCCCCTGGTAAAATTACATTCAGGACAAAAGATTTTATGTTGTCCTGACAAAAACTTTTTTCCAATTTAACAATCACCATTATTTCAGTAGCGAACAAAGGCAAATTTCTGAGATTATCACAGATTTGACGATGACACAACTTATAGATATTAACTGGTCTTGAAGTTTACTTAGTTGCTCTAAGTAAACTTCAGAAAATAAATTCAGCCCTAAAAGTTTCCATATTTGGATCTTATTGTATCTGTTACATTTGGTTAAATCTTAAGGTGCTCATGAGATACTCGATTTGTTGTGATGTAATATTTCTAAGTTTTGTGCTATTTTACAATATCGCTTTTGTTTCAGTTTAACTAACAGTATTTAACACTGGTCTTAAAAGCAAGTATGACTCGCTGATTGGTTTTGCCATTTTGTGTTGGCAAGGTGAGCTGGCATAGCTTTGTGTTTTAGGACTGTTATAGTACAACCTTGAATGATTCTGAATATCTGCACCAGACAACTTTTCACTTTATAAACATTCATGGTATATCCACGTTAGAAACCTGAATCACATTATACTAATACAGATTTGTTATCAGTCAATCATTTTAAAACCGATTCACAGAAATGTTGCCTAAAATAATTTCATCTGGTATTGTCTTAAGACCTGAAACTACAGGATTATTCAAATTGTGAATAAATTTATAAATGAAATAGCTGTGGTATAAGACACCAAAGCTACGCTTGTTGCTCTTTTTTAATGAAGGTAATGCAAATGAGAAAACAGATCTAAAACACACACAAGGGGCAAATTAGGTTAAAATTCAACTTACCTGAATGGTCCGCTGCTCCCGATTCAACCTGCTGCAACTTGTCATATCTTCCTTCTTAATACAATTGAATTTGTCTCCCACAAAGCTAGATGGGGTTGCACTGCACCTAGCTGAATTAGATCCTTTGCATTCCGAAACTAGATTCTTCACTGAACTATCCTCCTTTTCTTTGGTAAAAGTACATTTGATTGGTTCAGCAGCATAATGCTCTCTCTCATTACAAACACCTATATTCATGGATTGATGTGCAACAGTCAATAATTTGGAGGATGTTGCACTTCCATTTGTTAATTCCTGTACAATCTCAAACTCTGAACTTGTGGTACTTTGGAGTTCCAGAACAGGAAGATCCTTAGGTCTATGGCTCTGATTATTTAACAGCAAGTCATTCGAAGGTAAATAAATTGCTCCTTGATCTTGCAGGTCCTTAACCTGAACTTTTCCATCTTGACCCATATCTGTTGAATGTTTCAAATTGTGACTCAAGATTTTTTCATTGGCTTTAAACTTATACCGACGTCCATTCTCCACTTCAGTGGTGGAAATCATATTCTGCTGATCTTTTTGACCATTTTGGTTTTGGTTTTCAGAAGGTAAACACCTCAAGTCAATTACATTTGCACTACTGGAAGAAGGCGTTTTCAAATCTTTGAAAGGAGTACCTTCCTTACTGATTTCCTTTGGAGTAAATGATTTAGAAATATCCTTTTTATTTTCCACTGTAAACATCTCCAAAGCCCTGCTCTGAACTATAGACTCCAGGTTGGACAATGGTGACCCCATTGTCTGAAGCTGGTCTTCCTTAGTCTTTTCTCCATGAATTTTATGTGGCATCCACACAGCACCTACACAACGTTGACTCTGAAATAAAGTATATTCACCTCTGGGATATGGTCTCTGGTATAGACCATAAGGAATTTCTTGAGTTAGCGACAACTGTCCTGCCGAGCAACTGCCATTGGGCAACAATGGTGGATAATGAAACAAAGATTTATCCCGAGCTAGAGGGAGGTTGCTGATGGGAATGCCACTTCTGATGAGGAATGGGGAATATAGATTTGGGTGAAATGGTAGCACTTCACTGGGGGTAGATATAAAAGAGCTGAGGGAGGAACTATTATTAGTTTCCTTCACAACATGCTCTCTACATGCATTTTTATTTGTCTGCCCTGTCTTGGTAACTTTGGGAAGTACCAACTGCTGATCACCTTGACAAACTATGGAAATCGGTTCTTGCTTAGCAGTAGTATTGGGATCTCCATTACCAATCTGTAACATGGAGGCAGGTACAGCATTGGCCACACCAAAAAAAGTCCCTGGATTGCAAGTGACCAAGCTACTGGAACCTTTCAGCCAGGACCAAGATGGATTCAGTGGCTGAAAAGCCAAAGGATCTATAGAATTCCTTTGTAAAGTAGCCCCATTTCTTATTGTATCCGGGAAAACCACAATCGGAGGTGTCAAACCCAAGCTTCCTTTAATACTGCTAGTACTGTAGCTACTTTGAGGTATTCTGGGTGAAAGATGGTCACCTTTAGAGTGCAGTGCGGAAAATGACCGATCCCCTTTAACAGGTGTTAACACTGGCATAGGAGGTGTCTTACGCAGTTCAATTATAGGATTATGTTTAATCCCTATACCAAACGAGGCAGATTTTGCAGACAAATCAAGAGGTACATCACGGACTTCCTCTGGATATATCTGCTTCTCAAGATGAGGTGGAGATCTGAACACCATTAAAGGAGTTTGTGAGGTCTCTCCATGTGAGTGCTGCTGAACTATGCTATGCTCAGGAAGTTTGGGTAACCTACTGTTTGAATTCTTCCTTGGCAAAGGCATTTCACTGCTGATGGTGAAATAAGTGTGGGGTGGTGGCAATGAAGTATGAGGAAGGGGTGTTAAAAATGGTTGCTTTTGAGATGATTCCGATTGTATTTTGTTTTTTGGGTAAGTGGGTTTGGAATACCTGCACACAGAGGAAGAACTACACACAGAATTATTAGAGTCCTGTTTCTTTTCCAAGGCCTTAGGTTCTGAGGTCAAAGATCTGCTTTGGGGCATTGGATGAAAATATGGTTGCAATTCTGGAGCCAAATTAGTGCCTCTACTTTTATTGGGTAAAAATGGTTGTATTGTATGCACTCCTGTAACTCCCATGTTTGTTGGCAGGGATGATGCAAAATGTGAATGTCCTAAGTTTAAAGGTGGTAAGTACATTAAAGGTTGACTTTGGTTAAATACTGATGGACAATAAGATTGGGGAACTTTGTGTAAACTCTGGGAAGGTGACAAACAGGGTTTGCACAAGTTCAAAGAATTCAGTGCATTAAAAGAATGGTGATTCCCTGGCAAAGCACTGTTTAAATGTGGACTGATCCAGGGTTGTCCTTGATATTGAGCCCCTGACCCAGGAGTCAATTTTTGCTTGTCCGTTTTTCCTGGATCTTGAGTGCAAGTAGCTTTTGACAACGTTTGCTGTGCTTTCTGATGTGGTCCAACATTCTCCAATTTTTTTATCCGGTTATCTCCATTTTCTGGCATTTCCCCATGCGGTGATTTATTTTGCACATTGGGAATTCGGTCGGTCTTTGACTGTGAACTTAAGGTGGCCATGAGGGCTACCTCCTCTTCCTTTGGGGCAGCTCTTTGAGAAGCAGGTTGAACATTATCCTTGCAGTTTTGAAGTTCCTCCTGCAATAAGTTACATTCATCCCCCTCGACTTGCTGGACACCATTGTTCATTCGTTCAGTCTCCACCTAAAAAGTACAGCAATTATCAGAGATTCCAATAAGCCTAGATGTCCTATTAAAACACCAATATAGTAGAACCTCAGAAGTTAAGACACCAAAGGACGAAGGATGTCCACAACTCCAATAATGTTTGAGCCAGAAGTCTCAATCAAGAATGCTAAATTATGAAAAAATATATATTTTTTCTAAAATAGCATACTTTTTAGGTGCAGTAAATATTCAAAAATCTCAAATAAAATACTGCAACTGCAGAAACCATCAGATTATCGCACATTAATGTTTAAGCCTGAGGAGTTGAAAAGTATATTTCGCACGACTCAAAATGGTACCATTGCACTTTCTGATGGCATGCTTTTTATAACTGCAACTTTGAGATTGTATCTCAATATTTTATGGCAATAATAATCAATGGATATGGATAATATTGCTGCAGGTGAAAGTGAAAATATTAAGTAACAAGCTGCAGTAGGTAAAACTACAAGGTTTTACTTACACTTGTTTACAATTTGGAGCTATTAAACCATATGTTGCAGATTATGTACTTTGGCACATAAAATGACTCAGAGAATTTCACCACTGAAGGAAGTCATTCAGAAGCATGTCTTGGTGAAACTGCTACTTTGATTAAGTCACCGTCTTTATTAAGCCAACTTTCAAGCTTTCTCCCCATAGCCATTAAGGATTTTACTTCTAAAATATATGTGGCACATAACCATTTTTCAGAATAAATTAATTATACTGCTGAGCTTAATTTTGAAAAATAAGATGGGGAGGGGAAGAAAAGCTAGTCACTATATTTATTTACATTGAACTTTCAGCCCGATTTTAACCTCTGATCTAATTTTAACCATTAGTATAGGTTTGCATAGATGTCTGGTGCAGATGCAGAGTTTTAAAAGTTACACATTTACAAGATAAAACTACTAGCAATATAAAAAGCAAATCAGCAGGAAGTGGGACCTGCAGAAATACCTTTCACTCCAGTAATGGTCTGCCTTGTGCCAAAATAGTACAAAATCAAATGTAGGCAAAGAATGATATACTATATCACAATGCTTTTTCTTTTAAATTTCTTATATAATCTTATCAAACAAACTTGTATTCTATCTGTACCAATTATATTTTAGTTCAACAGGAAAAAAGAGAAATATCAATGCATTCCTCATGAGCTGATATTGTTATTTTTCAGTTATTAAACAAAGTAGGTAAAATAGTTTATAAAATTGTGGGAGCAACTGTGATTGATCACTGAATCTTATAATATTCAGTAGAAATTTATAATAATCCTTACATTTGATATAGCGCCTTATTGTTTTAGAAAATCTATTCCAAAGCACATCACAGCGTTATCTGACTGTGTATTTCGTAGGTGATTGTGGCAACCAATTTTCACACAGCAATATTCCCCGAACAACCATGACCTGAATGATCAATTTTATCTGGGGAATTGTTGGACAAGATACCAGGAGATGCTTCCATTCTCTTTTCAAATAGTTCAATGAGATCTTTAACATCTATCTAAATAGGCAGTGTCTGATTTGAAGGAAAGCACCTCCAATAATGCAGCACTCACCAGGCACTGCACTGGAGTTTCATCTTGCATGAGGAGTTGAGTCCCAATTAGGGGCTGTATACCACAACCTTCTGGCAAGAGGCAAAAGTGCTAACAACTGAGCCAGGCTGACACCATCCAGGAGTGTCACTTTCATGTGGTAATCTGGGAATTCTTTTTNGTGACATATACATATTTCTTATGAGATCATTAGCATGATTATTCAGAGACAAGTTAAGAAATACTATTTAGCTCTCTAAAATAAATTTAGGGTAGTAGAAAGCATTAACGGCTTACGAGATGTGGAATGTCGTTCCTAACTTTGAGGTTTGTACCATTGGCTACAACAGCAACAATTCAGCTTCGCAAGAAGGATTAGAAATATTGAGTGTTTAGGTTTCAGTTCATGGAAGACTAGGTGAATGCTTAAGAATTTATTAGGTTATAAAGCTGTGTAACGGTTTAAAATATGTATTGTTTAGGATGATGCGTTTTGCAGGAAGTGTTAATTTATAAGAAATAAAAATGTATTCAACATATTTATGAAGAGACTCAAAGCTTTGTAGCGGTTCAGATTTTTTCGAGGATTTAACTCTTACACCAACCACTTAAGAGAACAGGCATTAATAAATAATTTTAAGGAAGTATTGTACTAAAAATACAAATAGAACGATTAAAACGGTTCTTGATTATAGCTCCACTGACCCAACAAAATCCAAATTCTATAGGACCACAAAAATATACTAAACTACCATGGTCTCCTTTGTTGTCAAATAGGATTCATTTGCCACATATCACTATGATCCATCATGGGTAACAAAATGGAAAATTACAGAAACTGTCCTCTTCAAGATGTTAAGCATCTGTAACATTATGCTTCTTTAAATGTTGGTTTAATGTTGCTCTTCCCACAACATGAAAAACACTGGCACCTCTGGGAAATGCACTCTTCGGAGAGAAGCAAAGCAATGCATATTTCTGGACCAAAATTTATTTTGTGAATACTTTCACATTAACAATTAACTATATACAAAACAAATTCTGAAAAATCATGCATGTAAGTAAAGGACACAACTCATAAGAAGAAACAAGATACCACTAAAAGGTTAGAATGAAACTGCCCCATTCTTAATACAGCCTGTCTAATGCAACTCACAATCACATTGTCATCCAACCTGATACCAAGTTTATCTCCCAAAGATCCAATATACTCCACCACCCCTCTCTACCCGATACATTTCATGCCTCTCTTCCCAGTCATACAATGCAACTCCTACACCTCTCTACAAATGCAATGCACATTTTATTCTCCCAACTTCTCATAGCAGTTATATTAAATACGCCTGGTCTCTGCTGCTCTTGTAGCAACAAGAATACAATTTACCCAGAATCATTCCCCTGCAGCTACCGCAAGGTACAGGTGGGAACAGATAAATGCAATAGCAAACATAAGCTGCCAGGATAAAGATTTAAATGCAACTGGATCGGAAGCAGAACTCTGAATCATATCAGTTTGTGCCAGGAAAGGAACAGGGAATCATATCAGGTGTTGAAGACGAAGGACCCAGAGGCAAAGGGCACAGAAATGAAAAGGGAGATCAGAAACAAATGGAGGGGAAAGGAAGAGTGACTGGAGGTAGCATGGAGGGGGGGAATTAAAGAATGGAGCTGCCTGGAGGAATACAATAAGTTGGTGCCAGTCTTACTTTTGCCAATAAATGAAGTTTTTAAAAACTGCCTCTGACTATTTGTGATAGTTATTATTATTATTATATACATACATGATAACCCCTGAAACAAGGGTCACATAGGAACCTGGGCAAAAAATCTAGTTCTAATTCAGGAAGGACAGAGAGATCAAACACATCAGTATTATTATTTATTTTGCTTAAAGGCATGTGCTTATAATTCAACACTGTGTTCTTAGAAAGGAGGAGCAGAAGAACAGCTTTTGGAAAGAATGAAGACTTACCTGTAGATTGCAAAAATAGCCGTTGAGTAATCTATGTCATGGCAATATGACCCTCAGTAAATGTTAGTTAATATTTCCTGTTTAATCACATTCTCTATGTATAAGAATACCTATATAAAGAATGAATCTCCCAGTGTCTTCTTGTGAAACCAATTTTTCAGGTCAACCCTAAAAACTAGAAATGAAATAGGTTGAACGACCCTTTTGAAGTATTTTTTTTCTCCTCACTATTTGATAACTATGAATAGGAACAATTTGAACAGTGAGTATTTGAACACTGTACATGTCAAACCATTTATAATTCCTTATTAAAACTGACTTAACCCTTTCTATAAGCAAAGGGTGAAAAAAACATTGTTGCTGCCACATGTACATATACCAAGCTCCATTTAAATTTAAGATTAAGAAGTATTGTTATTATTCAAGCATTAGAGATACCCAAGAAAAAAATGGGATCAATCCCTGGACTATTGGACAAATTCCTTCAAAATATAAGAAGCTTTGTCATTAGAAAGAAATGTCCTTGCAGGCATTTAGTTATAAATTATCGGTACCTTCATCTAAGAATGAATCCCATTTGATAATCAGGCATCCAAATAAAATTTGTCCAATGCTGGATGCCATTTGACTGAAATTCAGGCAGGATATCACTTTAGCAAGGTAACAATGCCTAAACTAGAATTACACTGCCTGCAAAAATAGGACAACCAGAATCTTTTTCCTCATTCATCTGGTTTATTTTGCATGACCACAGAAATGATGGGAAACATTGGAAAAGCACCATGGAAAAAGTCATTTTTCAGGATATTAAAAACCTGTAAATACAGTCTCTGAAATAGAACTGTAATAGCCTTGTGTTCACAGAGGTGGAGAAGATAGACGGTTCTGATAAGTTCACTGTTGGAGCAGGTGTTATATTTCCAAGTAAAGATCATATTTTAAATATAAAATGCAGACATGGCCTGAGGCAAGGGATGTCACTTCCGCCCAATGGGCCAATATTTTACTCATACATAATGCAGCCCACAAATTGGCCATCCCTGCCCTGAGGCATCAGTAACCACATTTACTACGTACTTCTGAGGAGAAACGATCAGGCTGTAGGGATTCATAGCAGAAGATCTTTATAACGGAGTCCACCATGCTTTTTTTTCCATAGTAAATTACTGTCCCCTTATCCATCCAGAAGCAAAGTGACTGCTGGGAATTCTAAAGTCTGAAGTGCAGCAGAAGGAAGAAAACTAACTGACCAGCCAAACAATAAGATAAGTGAATTCTTATGAAGTTCTTTGGCAAGGTAACCAGATGCCCATTCTCATAATAGGGTCACATAGATCACAGATGGGAGTTTGAGGTTACAGTTTTCACCCAACACAAGTTATATTCTAAGCAGACTATCAAAAGTCCAAGCTTTGCCAAAGATTCCATGTGTAACAGGACAGAGAGAGGAAAGTCAGATGAAAGAACCATACAGAAAGTTTAGTGCTGCAAACTGCAATAACTCTCTAAATTCATTCTGTGTTTGGCTCCAAGTATAAGAAAGCCTCACTTTCGGAAGGATAGAAGCAAATTTGTAGTTGTGAGACAGTCATCAAGAACATTTTGAGTCAGAACTATCAAATTGTGAAAAAGCTCCAATCATGGCTTTCCTACTGTCATTTTTATAGTTTTTTGGTAAGGAAGTATCTAAGATGAGTAAAAAGAAATCCAAGTCAGAAGCATATTCGGAAGCCCACAAATGATCATTGGTCTCTGAGATGCCACTTTCCGAAATGTAGATGGCATTTATGTACTGAATTATATGTGAATCAGGAAATGCTCCAATTTCCAAATGAATGAAAAATAGTCTTATTAGAAAAAAAACAGAAGACAAACACTACACTTTAGTCAGGATTCTTCAGTTGGAGTTTAGCCAGTCTAATGTAATTATGATGAGCTTTGCGACAATGGAAAGACAGTAAGACCCTGAAACCTATTGTGAAACTAACTGATATCAGCATTTTTCCTTTCTGTAGACATAACACTTTCTATATTGTGGTTATATGGAATTAATGTCTTACATCAATTTTGCCTGAATGGTATCTTGCAAATACTATCTGTTTGACAAGTGATTGGGTCATCATCGTGAACTTTTCCTTCCAGAGGTGTTTGTTGAGCAAGATTAAGAATGGGACAGTGCATATGCTATGGGCTTCCAATAATTTCTCAGAACATGGGAGGAAGCAACAGAATGCACTGGTAGATATCAAGATATGAAATTCACCATAAACATATTGAGGAAATCTTTCAAGAATGAATCCATTTAAAAGAAGTGTAGACAAGCCATTATTTCTGAAAAGCGAGAGTTAAAGATCGAAGACGTTGATGGATATGGTCACATTAGTATCAGGAAGAATAAGGCATATGAAAAAAGTATGGAATGTGGAAGAGAAAAGTATACTGGTATTGAGCACCACTAGAAAATCAGAAGTACAAGATAGGCTTGATCAAGAAAGTTTAAAAAATAGAGAATACATGAAGAGGAAACGGAAAGAATAATTCATTGCACACCAGGTATACCTTGTCCAGGCAAAAAGGTGGATTTGTGTCTACTGGGAAGCAACTTTACACAAAGTCTAAACTATGATTTTATCTGTCAGCCCGAAACAAACTAAAAGCCATCACTGACTGTGTGAACAAATCGATCTTGCTTACCTCAGCGTGGATGTGGTTAATGTGAGTATCTTCCGTCCTTATCAGCTGTGGAGCACTCGTCCTGGGATCTGCATCTGTGAGTGAAGGTCGTCTAGGATTAAAAAAAAAATTATTTATAGAGAATACAGGACAGCGTGGCTTTGTTACATATGAAAAATATATCATCTTATAACTCATGCACAAATCAAACTGCCATATTTGGAAACTGAACATAGCTTACACTACATTACACTATTAGTCTGGAGAAGCTGTGACAAGACGACCTAAATGTTAAGGCTACTACTTAATATAGTGGAAAAAACATCACCCACGTTTTACGGTGAGTGACTATAGCATTAATTGTACATACATATTATATATAAAATATTTTATACATGTGAACAAATTACTTCAGTAAATTGTAACCTAAACTTCAAATAGTTTTATTCAACTAAATTGTAAGATGTCAGTTTAAGGAATGAATTCAGTGCTCCAGCTAAAATAGTTACAGTAAAGATATATCAGGCTCAACTAAGACTTAGCATTCTTACAGCCCAGTAACAGTAAGACTGTAAAGAAATCAGCACGCTAAACATCTAAAAATATTGTGGTGTAAGACAATAATTGACCTGATGCAAATGTACCATTACACTATAATGTAATCCTGAAATTATACAGAATTGCACTGTGAATGTTCAGCCTGTGAATTCAATTTTCTAATACTGAAACTAACTGCATAAAGTCTCAGACCTATAAACAATGTCTATGTTATACACTCTTAAAAGCTAAATGCAACAATTTATTGATTCCAAATTCATTTTCACAAATACCAAGATGTTTTTCAGGTTTTTAAAAAAAACCTCAAGACTCGTTCAATCATTGGTATATTAAATGACGTGTGAAGAATTAATACAATTGGTCACTCACATCGTGGCTGTTTGTGAGACATTGCTGCGTGTAAAGATTTTCTTTACATAATAACATAAAAGTATATACATAATTTTATTTTGGACTCTGCTCAGACTTTGTAGTGACAGGAACTAAATTCTATATTGTGCTGATGCTTTGTCTCAAAGGATAGTTTTGTTTCTTTGACACCACAATCAGTATATTAATGTAGGTTTTAATAATAATAATAATAATCCTTGCATTTGATATAGCGCTTTTCACGTCGGGAGGACGTCCCAAAGCGCTTCACAGAACACACTGTAAAGTGAATTGACTGTATATTTGTGGGCGAACGCGGCAGCCAATTGCGTACAGCAATGTCCCACAAACAGTCGTAGATTGAAAATGACCAATTTATTATTGTTTTGTTTTTTGAAGGGATTATTATTAGGCGTGTGGAGTAAAGAAACTTGCCCAAGGTTTCGCCCTGTCTGGAATTGAACTCAGGTCTCTCGCTTGCAAAGCGAGTGCTCTAACCACTGAGCTATACAGGACTCCATAATTTACATGTCAGAGTTCCACAGGGGAAAAGAAATAGCCTTCTGTGTCAGTTCCCATATCTGGTGTACCAATATTGTGTTAAAGATGATGGGAGGCAAACAAACTGCTCCTCCTTGCTGTGGTGAAATGCACATGGATGGTAGGGATGGAGAGAAAATTAGCAGGCGAGTCCTCACCAATAATGTGTATGTGCCATCTATACAAACGGAACTATTAACATATAGTTCTATATATTATAGATTTCTCTATATATATCATAAATATCATTTATATAGGTGAACGATCTTGCTTTGATTACTCCAATTCCAATGATATGCCATTTTCTATTTCAATTGGAATGACATTACAATGACAAAAAAAACACAAGAAACTCAATTCTCCTAGGCTAGAAACTGTGAAAACACTTTTATTTTCTAGACACACCATCTAATCATATTATGTGGCTGGCATACAGCTTTCATACACCAAAAAGTAAAGGTAATTCCAACTTTTGTTCTGTGACAAAGTGCCATCAGTATCAAGGTCAACCTCAAACTCGGGAGAAAAGTCAGTTGCAGAGTACAGAGAGCATAAGAACATAAGAATTCATTAGGCAAAAGAAGACCAAACTCCCTAGTTCACCTTCTACCATCCTGGCAGTCTCTTGACATGTTGTGTCCCAAACTGAGATAATTAGATATTCTAAGCTTGATGAATTTTAACAACTCCAATTTTAACAAGCTGAAGGATGGGAAAACGGGTAACCTCTCAATTGTGGTGCTAAGTAGTGTACTTACAGAAAATATAAAATGTTTTACTTCATAAAACCAACCACAAAAAATTTAGAAACTAGAAGTTTAAACCGTAGCAAGGTCTTTCATGGTAAGCAGCTTCCAAAGTTTAAAATTCAACAAATGGTCATAACAAAGATAAGATGATGGAAGAACAAAATTCTCTTTGTAGCATTTGTATTTGTGGAAATAAAAGACTATGTATTAGCCAGACTATGTGGCATCAGAAATATTCCCATTTGGAAATAGGAATAACCTAAATCCTTAAAGATTTAAAAACGCATACCCAGTCCTTTTGAAAAATATAGCACCAGAAAGACCATAACCCACCCTACTCTACATCTGGCTGAACTCATTTAAAAAAAAGTGTTTCACCTGATGCTATGGGAAGTAATTATTAAGGTGTTTTCCATGCAAAATAGTTCTCCTGTGAAAAGAAAGAATATAGTCATGTGAGTTTTTTTTATTTTAACACACACTTCAATTCACTTGACTCTTAAAAGGATCAAAATCTCAAACACAGAATAGATAGGATACACCTATTAGTGTACATATAGAAGTGTCACAAAATATTGTAATAAAAAAGCCCCAAGAGAGTTACAGGCTTTTACAAGAGTAGCCCAATCAACCCCCTAAATTCACAATAGGTTGCTTCTGACAGAAACCAAATCTAATTTTAAACAAAGAGCAAACAAATCAGTTTCCATCCCCTAATGCCAAGTGACATGCCATATATCACCAAATTCCTTCATAAAATTATTTGTTTTCCTTTATCAGAAAAGCAAAATACTAACATTTTCACAAAATTTAAATCAGAATTTTTAACTATTAGTTGATGTACATGATAATTATTCTGCTGGGTCATGTCCACACAAACTTGCTAACAGTGAGTCAATTGAATTTAAACTTCTCTAATTTTTTTCTAAAACAGTAAAAATCATAACCGAACCAAACTATTTCAACAAAGGGTCACACATTGGACAGTACGAACAGCTTCTTTATTATTTTTTTACAACATACATGTAATTAGAAAAATGGATCAAATATAATGTAGATGTTTACCATGATGCAGAGAATTGTTACGATTTCAATGCCCATTTTTGTAAGCACAGCAGAAATAACAGAAACAATAGCCTCTGTAAATAAATGTTTTGTAGAACTTTGAAAGAAGGAAATGGTCATACTGAGAATTAAGACATAACATTTGGCTTGCTACTAAATTAATTTACAGTTTATAGTAAGTAATTATATTACACTTTTTAAATAACATGGTCCCCAATAAATAAGAAGTTAATACCATCATAGAATGGCATAAATTGCTTCTATATTACAACAAAATATAAATGCTTTGAGACGTATCAACGACGTGATAAGGCGCTATATCAAGTGCAAGGATTATTATTACATATCACTGGACATTATGTTTTGCTTAGCCCATGTTACAATTGATTGTTTCTGTTCATCAATCTTCTGTTCTACTGTATTAGACCAGTTTTCCCCAAAATGCTCATAATTTGACAACCTCACTTCAAAAGACCCTAAGGACAAATGTACTAGAAAAACAAATGTGCAAATTGTGCTCAAGTAGAAAACAGAATGGGATAAGGTATATACAATGACTGTTTCGTATGACTTGATGATAATTTAATGTGGTTACTAGATGCAAATAAATGTATTCCATTTCATAAATAACTTTTTAAAATCATCTTACTCACTATACACACCCACAGCAGCAATATATATGGTCCATTCCTTCAGTCAACAAAACATTATTGGTAATAGGAAATGTTCTGATATTATAAGCAGTGAAAATGGAAATAGCAAAGTCAGGATAAGTAGCCCACTGAGTTTTAATGTTATCAACTGGTGATTCATAATGTTAGTTAATATTAGACGCTGATCAGAAAATTAAGAAATGTAAAACTTAAAAAACTATTATTCTTGATTTTACAATGCACAAATCAAATGTATACTGATATGTTAACTGTACAAATGCATTACTTCTGCAGGATGAATGTTAAAATGAATTGTTTAATAAGTTATACAAAAGAATTTAACAACCTAACAGCAGTTGTCCTAGGCTTGAAACGCTGTAACGGGCCATGATGCTCTCAATTAGTTAATATTTTAATAAGGGGGGCACTATAACCAAGATAACATTCTATCCTTTCATTCATTTCTTTCCAGTGGCACTCACCTGTCTTCCTTAATGCCACACATCCGGATCCGGTCAGAGCTTGCCCAGTCGTGTACGCCGTTGTACAGCGAGGCTGTGGCAAGCATGACAGGTGCAGACTGACTCTAGCAGCTGCACTTCTTCACTCCTCCAACCTGCATAACCAAAGTAAACCATTAGCAACTGGAGAAGCATTTGTAACACTTTCTTCCTTGCTCCAAACTCTCCAGTATAAAATTGTGGTGCTACCATTACAAGTTTATTTTTGACGAATATACAAGGCAAGGACGTTACTGTGACAAAATTCCTATGTCTCATGGGTCTGATGAACATCACTGGAATACCTAGTTTCTGATGCATTTAATGCCATTAGTGCACGGTGTAAGTATGTCAGCAGCTTCTATTGGCAGAAATAGAGTATTACATTAATTCGATGATCCATCAGTCTTCAGAAGAACATTTAATACGAATGTGAATCCAAAAATAGAAGGTACTCATCAGCAATATTTCCAGTCTGTGAATAATAACATCAACAAACATTTCTGAGAAGTTACCATATGAATTTCACAACACAGTGTGTTATTCATAAACAGATAAAACTTTTTTTCTCATTCTGGGATATGCAATGTCATTTGGATAAAGGTATATTTGAGCAAGAAGGAATATCGCTTAGCCAATGACAGAAAATTACTCTGTAGCCTTCTTTTAAAGGCATATACAATGTATTTGCCCATACAATCTAAAGCAACAAATAAAGCTCATTAAAGGCCCGTGTTTAGATGACCTCCATGTTTTATGTCCTATTCTCTTTACTGGATGTTACTGTAATATGTATTTATATTTAACACCTACTCCTGATTCATGGAATAGACAGTTCTTTGAACAACAAATACTAAATCAATCAATATAAAACCATTCGTAACTTTTTTAAAAAATGTCTCTATTGTAATAACTTTAGCCCCATGCCTCCTGAGTGTGTAAAGCAGGCTCTTCAAACAAAAAGATCTTGAATAGTACAATTTCTTATCCAAAGCTACACTCGCAAAGAGAAAGTATTGAATTTGTGGAGCTAAATAGTTTGATTTGAGGGAAAAGCTTCTTATTGGAAAACCAAATCTAACAATTGAGTTGAGTCAACCTTGACAAATATATCTAAAGGAAGCAACAAACTACTCACTCCAGTTTAATGAATGGAGTAACTGCAGTTATTTGAAGAATCATGATAAAGGGTCCAAGGAAAAGACTTGGCCATTGTCACTTCCTAGCCCCCTAATGATAACAAACACAATGTTTCTGATGACCAACACTACTAATGTACAGTCAATTCACTTTACAGTATATTCTGTGAAGCGTTTTGAGATGTCTTGAAGACGTGATAAGGCACTATATCAAAACGCAAGGATGATGATGATGATTATTATTATTACTACTACTACTGTATCTCCATGGCGAGCTCCAATGAGACAAACGTATCCAGGTCTGTAAAGAATGCCCAGCCTATTGAAAAAAATCCTATTATGACAAATAATAATCTTTACATTTGATGAATACGTTACAGTTTACATCAGGACGATATCTCAAAGTGCTTGAGTACTTTACTGTAATGTGCAGTGACGGAACTGGTAGCCAATTTGCACAAACCAATGTCCCACAAAGAGCCATGAAGCGCGTGACCATTTTTTTTTCAAATCCGGAGAGAAGAGGTTAATAAGAGGTACCCCTCAAGAACCTTGTAAAGCCTCTAATCTCTTCAATAAGAAGTCTTTTGCGTTCTCCAGATCAACTTCTTTTGTCCAGAACCTGTCACAGGTGTTTTTTTGTGCGTGAAACTGTAGCCTAGAATGCTTATACATCGCGAACTATACAACTTGTAGGTTAAACCACGCCGGGAAAGCGTACGATTCCCGCGTGAAATCCTCTCGCAACCGTGCTGCCCATTTCTCTGGGTGAAGTTACACCGACAGAAACATTCGCACCGCAAGCGCTTGGCCGCCTCTTGCCAGGTAGCTTGGTTTGCGTCTTTGGCCGGCGGCCGGGTGTCTTGACGCGCGCGGAAACCCGCCGCCGCGCTTAAAAAGGGGGTCCGGAACCCAAGCCGGGATTGCCACCCATCCCAACTTACACGTGGGAATCCCAGAGGTAGATTGTCGGAATGGATTGCGCACCTCCGGCTCTCTCTCTCTCTCTCTCTCTCTGGAGCGGCGCATCCTCCTGACCCCATTCGGGAAAGGATGGAGGTTACAGGTTGGCAAGAACCCCAGGGGGTGGGTGTTCGTTGGGGGTAACTGCCGGAGGTCTAACCGGCTTTTTTTTTGAAAAAAAACACACGCACCAAACACTTGACACGACACTCTTGCAAGGCTCGGGGCTCGCTCCCCCGCCACCAGCGGGAGGGGGTGGGTGGGGTGGGGTGGGGTTGGGGGTGGTGGTGGGGTTGTGGGGTGTGAAGAAGACACGAGGCGACGCTGCGAGAGAGTCGGGACGAGATATAAAAGTTTCACTTCAAACCTTCCATTTTAAAAAAAATAGTGCCCGGCGAGCGTCGAAGCTCCAGAGTTTACCAACGGCAGCTTTTCGCTTATCTTTCTCTGCCCTCTCCACCATCCGACCGACCGACCGCTGCTGCTGGTGGTGCCCTGATGGCCGGGTGGGTACTCACTGGTCCCCGGGTGGGTGGGTGGGGGAGCGGGCGTCGCACCCTCTCGCGCCGCGCTCTCCACCGGCTCTTTTTCAAACCCGTCTCGCGCGACAGCCGTTGGGTCTCGGGCGCGCTCTCGGCCAATCAGCCCTCGCTCTCGTCAGCCCGGGTCGCTCCGCCCCCCCCCTCCCCCCGCCCCTGCCTCGCGCGATCGCCGCCCGGCAAACCCGCACGAGGCGACGTCCTCGAACGCCCCGACCAACGGCTCCTCGCATCCCACCCTCAACCCAGACCGCCACCACCATCCTCGTCGTCAGAACATTTCCCCCTCCCAAACAACCTTCCTTCGCCTGGAGACAAAAAGGTAAGGGGGTGGGGGACCACGCGCGCGCGCATGTTCCGCCTGTTACTGCACGAGTCCGCTGCTGGAAGTCGAGCGCGAGAGACTTGAGCCGCGCCGACGTTTCAAAGGCCAGCCCGGCACTGAGGCGTGAGAGGGAAGGCAGTGCGCATGCTCCCCGCCTGGCCGAGTGGCCGCGGCGCACTGTGGGAACTGTAGTCCCCGCCCCGAGCCCCGGGTTTGGCAATGGGAGCCGCGGGCGAGCCGTCAGCTGAAGAACTACAGCGTCCGTCCGCTCCCTCCCTCCCTCCCTCGGCCCGGTGTGGCCAGACTGGGCTTTGGAGGGGATGGAGAAAGGGGGCAAACCGTGTGCTTCCCCCTCCCCCCAACCCCCACTTGAAGATCTTTTCTTACACAGTTTCAAAAGCCACGAGCCTCACACCAGCCACCCGCAGCCATCACCTGCACCTGCACCTGCACCACACCCCTGACCCAAGGGCTACTTTGGGTCCAGTGTTCGGGTGGACCTTCGGGCAGCAAAACCGTATTTTAATTTCCTCTCGCCCTGGTAACTCGCACCGGGGCCGACGGTGGGGAAAGTGGCCGTCACAGTAAAACCGTTGTCGCGTTTGATCCAAAATTGGTTGGGGGAGAGGGGAAGAGTGCAAACACAGCACATAGATACAACAACAACAACAACAACATGATTGCAATTAGAGAGCGCCTTTCACGTCGGGAGGACGTCCCAAAATAATAATAATAATAATAATCCTTGTATTTGATATAGCACTTTTCACGTCGGGAGGACGTCCCAAAGCGCTTCACAGAACACACTGTAAAGTGAATTGACTGTATATTTGTGGGCGAACGCGGCAGCCAATTGCGCACAGCAATGTCCCACAAACAGTCGTGGATTGAAAATGACCAATTTATTATTGTTTTTGGTTTTGGAGGGATTATTATTAGGCTCTGTGTGGAGTAAGGAAACTTGCCCAAGGTTTCGCCCTCTGCCTGGAATTGAACTCAGGTCTCTAGCTTGCAAAGCAAGTGCTCAACCACTGAGCTACAGGACTCCACAAGGCGCTGGACGGTTGGGTCGGGACCCGAGCATTGGGGGGAACTGGTCAGGGTGAGGGGAGGGAGGGAGGGAGCGATTCCCAAACCCCCCCCCACCAATTACAAAACTTTTTAAAAGGTAAGTAACGCACAATAAGTCCGAGACCTCCCCAGTTGCCAGAGGTTTGTGTCCTGGTTTATAAGGGCCGTTGTCCACCTAGATTGCATTTTTTTAAAATTTGTTTCTATTTGCACAGTATCACTGTTTTGCAAGCGCTCTGAACTTCTGTAAGCAATTTGTTTTTTAATCAACTCTCATCGGCGCGTAAATTGTAAGTATTGCAAAATAAAGCTATGACGAAAGGAGTATGAGAACAGACAGTGACATTATTAAAGTTCACCTGCAGTAAGAAAGAAAATCTAATCGACCATCCGTCAGACCGGTAAAAAAAACACTAAAGTGAACAAGGAACAAACTTGTCACTTTTATCATAGATATGTGGGAAATAAATCACTGACTTAACAGCATTCTTACAATACATAAAGCCCCTTGCTGAAACAGGTATTCGTAACTTTAACAATCTAAATCTAAAACTTTTATTTTATTGCAAAATAATGATACTCTCTTTCCATAGATATCGTGACACTGAATTTGCCATATATTAAACAGATAAAAGACAAAGATAAAAGCATGGGACTGAAGTTCAGCTCGTAACTTCAATGAACAGTATTTCATACAGAGGGGGGAAAAGAGTTTGGCAATTATTTGCAGGTATTGAACTATTTTATGTTTAAAACCAGAACTGTTTCAAAGTAATTCACTGTTTAAAGTTCTCGGAGAGGTTTTCATGTGATAAGGTTCTACATCAAATGAAAATATATCATTTATAAACAGTTATGTAGCCCTCAAAACAACTACCCCAGGCTTCAGGAAACGTAACTGCTTGTTTTTTCAGAATAAATGCACACATTTCATAAAGGTTTGTCCTCCCCCTGCCCTCTATACCACTCTTATGGTTGAATAACATCCAGCTAGCATTCGTATTAACTTCAGCATCATTCACCACTTCCTGAAAGTACGGCACATTTCAAGAAAAAAAATAAGTCAACATAAAAAGATA